GTATCTGGAGCTGGAGCCCTGCAACTCCTGTGTAGCCAAGACTACTGCAACTCCTGTGTAGCTAGGATCTGCTGCAACTCCTGTGTAGCTAGGATCCTGTGTAGCCAAGACTGCTGCAACTCCTGTGTAGCCAAGACTGCTGCAACTCCTGTATAGCTAGGATCTGCTGCAACTCCTGTGTAGCTAGGATCTGCTGCAACTGCTGTGTAGCCAAGACTGCTGCAACTCCTATGTAGCCAGGATCTGCTGCAACTCCTGTGTAGCGAGGATCTGCTGCCAATCCTGTGTAGCTAGGATCTGCTGCAACTCCTGTGTAGCTAAGATCTGCTACAACTCCTGTATAGCTAGGATCTGCTGCAACTCCTGTCTTTCCTCATCATCCCTCTTCTCTCTCACCTGGCATCCTCCCGGGCTCATTGCTAGTAAATTCCTGCTTCTTTGGTGGAATAACCTGCTCGCTATGACGCTGGTCTCCATCCTTGCTCCCCTTTGATGCATAAAGGATCTTATACAGCACTGTTCCCTAGTATGGTCTCACCTGGTACCTTGCTAGGATCGTCCCTCGTAATTCTGAAGCTGAAGAGCCCTGCAACTCCTGTGTATCCCACCCATGTTGTCCCAGGGCTCAAAATCGCTTATCTTCTAGTATACCTAGCACCTTCTGCATCTCCTGTGTGGCTAAGATCTAGTTTGACCGCCAATAGCAACCCAACCAGCTTGTCGCAAGGCTGAAAATCGCTTGTCTCCTAGTCTCCCTCACCTGGCATCCTCCCGGACTCGTCGCTAGTGAAGTCCTGCTTCTTTGATGGGCAAAAGCTGCTCTTCTCCACTCTCCGTTCTTCTCGCTTCGTCCTCGCTACGTTGAAAGACAGTTCTAAGAAAGCATTAAAGTTCCCTTGTATACTCACAGCTGGAGTCCCTGCAATTCCTGTGTAGCAACTCCCGTCTTTCCTCATCATCCCTCTTCTCTCTCACCTGGCATCCTCCCGGGCTCGTCGCTGGTGAAGTCCTGCTGCGGGCCGGCGCCCGGTGCCGGGAGCACGCGGCCGGCGCGCGCCAGCAGGGCGGACAAGCAGGCGCGGGCCGCCGACGCGCGCGCCGAGCGCTTGCTGTGACCCCAGCCTTCGGAGCATGCTCTCCACTGCAGGAGTTCCCTCTAACTTGCTAGAGGCAAATGGAGGATTTGGCTTCCACTCCTCACGCTAGCACTTTATCAATGAGCAGGCTACGCGTAGCGTGCACTCTTACTATGTAGCAAGGATCTACAGCTTGACCTTCTCCTAAGTGATCTGTCATTGGACCCGCAACGAAATTAGACACTTATAGGAGTTCCTTCCACTGCTAGCTACTCCTCTGCAGCCAAGANAGCCAGAATCTACTGCTTGACTGCCAATAGCACAACCAGTAAAGACACAAGCTTGTCCTAGGGTTCAAAGTCGCTTGGAAGCACTGGGATTTCCTAGTGTTCTAGCTGACTAGCACCTTATTAGACTCTTCGCTGGTAGTTCTGCAACTGAGGTGGTCCTGCTAGCAAGAAACTGAAAGGCATGCTCGCATATACTTACACAGTTTTCCACCGCTGCAACTCCTGTGTAGCTAAGGCTACTAAGGAGTTGCCTGAGTTGGAGAAGAGGGAGGAAGATAGATCTTCATCTATCTCCTCTCTCTTCTCTCACTTACCTGGTGCCTAGCTAAGCTTGTCGCTAGTAAAGTCTTGCGACCCTGGTGGAATAAAATGCCTGCTAAGCTGCTGTCTCGCCTCATCTCCTCTCTGGTGGAAGACACTTCTAAAGAACTGTCCCTCTTCTCTCTCACCTGGCATCCTCCCGGGCTCGTCGCTGGTGAAGTCCTGCTGCGGGCCGGCGCCCGGTGCCGGCAGCACGCGGCCGGCGCGCGCCAGCAGGGCGGACAAGCAGGCGCGGGCCGCCGACGCGCGCGCCGAGCGCTTGCTGTGACCCCAGCCTTCGGAGCATGCTCTCCACTGCAGGAGTTCCCTCTAACTTGCTAGAGGCAAATGGAGGCTTTGGCTTACACCCCCCACGCTGGCACTCTTCTAACACCATAAGCGACGAAATTAGAAGTCACCACTGCAACTCCTAGAAACGTAGCTAGAATCTACTTGACCACCAATTGCATCCCAACCAGTGATGACCCAAGTCTGTCCCAGGGTTCTGGTGAAATTTCCATGTACACACTTCAAATCTAGCTTCATCTTCTTACCAGACACTTTGGGTTACCCTACCTACACAATCCATCAACATCAGGTCATTTAGTCTCCATTGCAGGAGCGAAGACCTTCAATGGAGGATTGACCTATGGTTCCCACGCTGGTCAGAAGGGTTGGGTAACTTACTTGGCTCCTTGCTAGTAAAATCCTGCTGGTTTGGTGGGAATAACTTGCCCCCCTGCAACTCCTGTGTAGCCAAGATCTGCTGCAACTCCTGTCTTTCCTCATCATCCCTCTTCTCTCTCACCTGGCATCCTCCCGGGCTCGTCGCTGGTGAAGTCCTGCTGCGGGCCGGCGCCCGGTGCCGGCAGCACGCGGCCGGCGCGCGCCAGCAGGGCGGACAAGCAGGCGCGGGCCGCCGACGCGCGCGCCGAGCGCTTGCTATACCCCCTGGGGAGTCCCTGCTATCTAGTAAGGCAAGCTCGCATATTCTTATACAGCTTTCCACCTCTGCAACTCCTGGCTACACATATAGATCAAGATCTATCTTCCTCTCTCTTCTCTCACTTACCTAGTGCCTTGCTAGGCTCATCCTTGGTAAAGTCCTGCTACTATAACCTAACCAGCTTGTCCCAGCTCCTTCCCTAGTACCCCCTCACCTGGTACCTTGCTAGCCTCGTCTCTGGTAAAGTCCTGCTGCTTTAGTGGAAATAAGCTGCTGTCTCCACTCTCCGTTGATCTTGCCTCGTCTCCGCTATTGTAGAAGACACTTCTTATAAGCATTTTTGCTTAACGCTGGTCTCCGCTCATGTCACCTCGTCTCAGCTTTGATGGTATACCTTCCTATAGATACTACCCTCACCTTGCAGCCTTCCGGGTTCGTCGGGTTAGTCCTGCTGCTGTGCTACCCCAGATCCTCCTTGCTTGCATAATCTTCCCGCTATGGCGCTCGTTGCCGCATATCTCGCCTCATCTCCACTTTGCTGGAAGAAGGATCCAATAAAGCACTGTCCCACTTCTCTCTCTCACCTGGCATCCTCCCGGGCTCGTCGCTGGTGAAGTCCTGCTTCTTTGGTAGAATAACCTGCTCGCTATGACGCTGGTCTTCGCTCATCTTGCCTCGTCTCCTCTTTGATGTAAGAAGGATCCTATAGAACTGTCCTTCTCTCTCTCACCTGGCATCCTCCCGGGCTCGTCGCTGGTGAAGTCCTGCTGCGGGCCGGCGCCCGGTGCCGGCAGCACGCGGCCGGCGCGCGCCAGCAGGGCGGACAAGCAGGCGCGGGCCGCCGACGCGCGCGCCGAGCGCTTGCTGTGACCCCAGCCTTCGGAGCATGCTCTCCACTGCAGGAGTTCCCTCTAACTTGCTAGAGGCAAATGGAGGCTTTGGCTTACAGCCCCCACGCTGGCACTCTTCTAACACCATAAGCGACGAAATTAGAAGTCACCACTGCAACTCCTAGAAACGTAGCTAGAATCTACAGCTTGACCACTAATTGCATCCCAACCAGTGATGACCCAAGTCTGTCCCAGGGTTCTGGTGAAATTTCCATGTACACACTTCAAATCTAGCTTCATCTTCTTACCAGACACTTTGGGTTACCCTACCTACACAATCCATCAACATCAGGTCATTTAGTCTCCATTGCAGGAGCGAAGACCTTCAATGGAGGATTGACCTATGGTTCCCACGCTGGTCAGAAGGGTTGGGTAACTTACTTGGCTCCTTGCTAGTAAAATCCTGCTGGTTTGATGGGAATAACTTGCCCCCCTGCAACTCCTGTGTAGCCAAGATCTGCTGCAACTCCTGTCTTTCCTCATCATCCCTCTTCTCTCTCACCTGGCATCCTCCCAGGCTCGTTCGTCGATGGTGAAGTCCTGCTTCTTTGGTAGTTATAACCTGCCCCGTTAAGCTACTGTCTCCGCTCTCCGCTCATCTCGCCTCATCTCCTCTCTGGTGGAAGACACTTCTAAAGCACTGTCCCTCTTCTCCCTCACCTGGCATCCTCCCGGGCTCGTCGCTGGTGAAGTCCTGCTGCGGGCCGGCGCCCGGTGCCGGCAGCACGCGGCCGGCGCGCGCCAGCAGGGCGGACAAGCAGGCGCGGGCCGCCGACGCGCGCGCCGAGCGCTTGCTGTGACCCCAGCCTTCGGAGCATGCTCTCCGCTGCAGGAGTTCCCTCTAACTTACTAGAGGCTAATGGAGGATTTGGCTTCCACTCCTCACGCTGGCACGCTTATACCACTCCATCTTACATTCTCGCCATTGCAACTCCTGTGGATCTAGGATCTACTGCTTGACTGTCAATAGCATCCTAACCAGTGAAGACACAAGATTGTCTTAGGGTTCAAAATTTATTAAAAGCATGATTATTCTCTGAGCTGGCACCTTGTACAGGCTTCCTTTTCGCTCGTCTCCGCTTGCTGGCAGACGGTTCTAATAAAGAGTCTCCTCAGCTGGCTCCTTAATAGGCTCGTCTCTTGGAAAGTCCTGCTGCTTTGGTGGGAATAAGCTGTTGTCTCCGCTATAGTAGAAGACACTTCTTATAAAGCACTGGCATCTCGTCGACTGGTGAAGTCCTGCTTCTTTGGTAGATGTAGCCTTTTGTCCTCTCATGTCGCCTCGTCTCAGCTTTGATGGTATACCTTCTTATAGACACTCCCCTCACCTGGCATCCTCCCGGGCTCGTCGCTAGTAAAGTCCTGCTGCTGTGCTACCCCAGATCCTCCTTGCTTGCATAATCTTCCCGCTATGACGCTCGTTGCCGCATATCTCGCCTCATCTCCACTTTGCTGTAAGAAGGATCCAATAAAGCACTGTCCCACTTCTCTCTCTCACCTGGCATCCTCCCGGGCTCGTCGCTGGTGAAGTCCTGCTGCGGGCCGGCGCCCGGTGCCGGCAGCACGCGGCCGGCGCGCGCCAGCAGGGCGGACAAGCAGGCGCGGGCCGCCGACGCGCGCGCCTCGCGTTTGCTGTGACCCCAGCCTTCGAAGGTCATGTCCGCTACCTGGAAAGGTTCCAAATTGTAAGGCTCATTCAGTGGCGTAGCCACCAAGGGGCTAGGCAGGGCAGTGCTCTGGAACCCTTAAGCATAAGTGCCCTCGAATCCTTATCAGAAAATCTCAATCGAACTGGACTTTTGAAAACCAATGGGGATTTTCAAAAGTCCAGTTCGATTGACGATTGATTCAAAATAGAGCGAAATTCAACAATACCTTCTTACCTAGGGAATTTCCATAAATTCTTTCTGTGGATTGGCAGTGTTGTCAATTCGACGGTAGCGAGAATGCGTTTTACATTATTCATTGATGTGCGTTTTATTGTGAAGAGAAGGGTTCCAAAATTAATGCTGTATCAGAAGTAAGTAAGCTAATGTCAATAAACTTGATAAAACCTAACCCTTTCGACGAGCTCTTCCAACTTTTTCAAACGGTACCAATGATCGAAGAAATAGGTTACAGAATAAACTGGAACTATCCGAAAAGTCAATGTAATTCTTGTGTAGTTTTTAATGTTATGTGGCTGTACCAAATGTATGGAAGCTGGAAACTTCGAATTTTCGGATAGATCCAGTTTATTCTGTAACTCATTATTGATACCGTTTGATAGATCTCATCAAGCTCTTTTAGGATCAGTAACTAGTTTTTTGATATCTTCCGGTTCGGTCGGTCGGTCGGTTCGAGTTATCGGTTTAGAAATAATCCAGTGAGATCACTTATCGTTTCCACCCTGATTAAATAGCCTAATGATCTTACAGTTGCAAATGATACAATTAAAATTTGAAAATTACGTCTAAACCTAAACTTACCTTGACTTTCATACAGAACCACGGCTCATGATCAGACCCGGTCTTATAGGCGTAACTGAACTCAAAACCCGTTCCAAGTTCATTCAACACCGATATAGGACTCTTATACTTCAGGTCTACCTCAGGGATCGATTTTAAGTCCAGCAAGTTTTTGTCGGTCAATTTATTTGTTAACATCATTTTGATGATTACTGTTCGAATTGAGTTGTCACCATTAAATAATAATTCTAAGACACTTCTTTAGAAAGCTGTAACTGTTAAAATCTACCACACAATATAACACTAAGCACCTAAAATCTACCTACTATGGTCACAAAACACCTAAAAGGTTGTTTATTTACTTTAAATTGGATTCTAGTTTATACATATTAGGCAATAAATAACGCGTTATAAGCTTGCATACTTTCATGCCAACTTCTTTATTAAAGCATAACACCAGATCTGGTTGATCTTTATGTTCATCTACCCTCCGAAACGGGACTATTCCCACCTCCCGTTACAACCGCTACAACTCCTGTGTAGCCAGGATCTACAGCTTGACCGCCAATAACCCAACCAGTGAAGGTCAAGTTCGTCCCGGGGGAAAGTCAAACTGTCATGTCATGTAAAAACTTCATGTAAAACCCCAGTTTTTATCCGAGAAATTAGTTTTACATTAACTTTTAATATAGAAGTTATCTTAAATAATGCACTCTACTACATGAAGGCTTTGAATAAAATAATATAAATTTCACCGCACTTTTAACAGTCACTTGAACACAAACATTACTATGAGGTCTCACAGTACGCGTGGACGCACAGGGTGACACTAGGACCAATCACAGAGCTTTATTCAACGCTGTGCGTTCAATTTGCTGCTTCGCCGTTAGACTGCTACCACAATAACGTAAATAATACTGATACAAAAATATAAAAAAATGCGGTGGTCGACTATCGCTATCTCAAAATTCAATTATCTTTATGATAAGATAAAGGTGTGGACTGACTATCGCACCGCAGAAAAGTAAATGAAATCTATACTAATATCATAAAGCTGAAGAGTTTGTTTGTTTGGTTGAATCAAATCAAATAATTTAATATATTTGATTTGAACACGCTAATCTCAGGAACTACTGGTCCGATTTGAAAAAATATATTTGTGTTGAATTATCGAGGAAGGTTTTAGGCTAATAACATCACTTTTGTCCCTACAGCCAATAGGGGTGGAGCAGTAAAAAAAGATACTATTTTCACGCGTACGAAGTCGTGGGAACAACTAGTCAAAAAAACATTTATTTGTGTGTACTAAACGATTTGCCACACGGAATGCGTTTTGCGGAGGTATTGTTACGATCTGGCATGCGAGCAAAGAACGCAAACCGGTACGGACTGCGTTCATTTGACCTGACCGCAAACCGCAGACCGCATCCAGTTCCAGTGTGACAAATGTTTGAATAAATTAGTACTTACAAATCGACTTTTGCTTTTATGGAGCCTTTACATGTCTCATAATCTTTTACTAGCGCTGCGAGACAAACATTAGAATAATTATTGAGTCTTTCTCTGATAAGCTAAATTTTACACGGGCGAAGTCGCGGGCAAAAGCTACTTTTGTAAAATAAAATTACTCGTTTTTTAAACAGTTTGTTGTTAATCAAGTTTGCGAATGTTCGCACACAGTGAGTTAGCACCTTAACGTTCAAAAAAACAACACACACTGCAAGTTTGTAAGGCACTTAAATTGTTACCACTTGACATTCAACTCTATTCCCATTAGATAGATAACGTTCAAAACATATTAAACGTTTATTTGTACTGACAAGTCTTTGTTTTATATCTTAATTATTTTAATTGGAAACTAAATTAGGAAGTTATTTTAGAATGTTGTGATACTACTTTGTATTTGTGCTAAAACTCATTGTTTTTGTTCTGTGACGTCACTTAACACGTTAACTACCGCATGACGTTGCCTTTAGCTCGTTTAGTGCTAACCAAGAGACTTGTTGCAAGAATGAAGAATGTTCACTAATTTTGTTGTTTCTGTATTCTCTNAATGGAGGATTTGGCTTCCACTCCTCACGCTAGCACTTTATCAATGAGCAGGCTGCGCGTAGCGTGCACTCTTACTATGTAGCAAGGATCTACAGCTTGACCTTCAGTCAACCAGTGAGTCAAGTTTGCCCCAGGAATAGCAGCTGTCATTGGATACACAACGAAATTAGACACTTATAGGAATTCCCACCGCTGCAACTCCTGTGTAGCTAGGATCTACAGCTTGACTGTCAATAACCCGTGAGGGCACAAGTTTGTCCCAGGGTTCAAAGTCGCTTGAAAGCACCTAGATTTCCTGGTGTTCTCTGAGCTGGCACTCTTCGCTGGTAGTTCTGCAACTGGGGTGCTCCTGCTAGCTAGAAAGCATGCTCGCATATTTCTACACTGCTTTCCACCACTGCAACTTCTGTGTAGCCAAGACTACTGCAACTCCTGTGTAGCTAGGATCTGCTGCAACTGCTGTGTAGCCAAGACTGCTGCAACTCCTGTGTAGCCAAGACTGCTGCAACTCCTGTATAGCTAGGATCTGCTGCAACTCCTGTGTAGCTAGGATCTGCTGCAACTCCTGTGTAGCTAGGATCTGCTNCGGGCCGCAGCACGACCCTCTAAGGTACTAGAGGCAAATGGAGGACTTGGCCTACACTCCCGACGCTGGTAATCTTATACTACCTATTCCATTGCTGTGCCCCAGCCTTCGAAGGTAACTTAGTCTCCACTGCAGGAGCACGATTCTTTCTAAGTAACTAGAGGCAAATGGAGGATTTGGCCTAGACTCTTCATGCTTGGATTATGCCGTCCGCTTTTGACAGGGAATGCAACTTCATGCAACCCCATAATCCACTCAATATACTGGGTATCCAGAAGCTTGACCGTCTTTAACATAAGGCCCAAGTTTGTTGAGTGGTTTTTTAGCCCAAGCAATTTTGAACCCTGGGGGTTTTGAACACTATGATTTCTTAGTGTCCTCTGAGCTGGCACTCTTCGCTGGTAGTTCTGTAACTGGGTGCTCCTGCTAGCTAGAAAGCATGCTCGCATATTCTTGTAAATCTTTCCATCGCTGCAACTCCTGTGTAGCCAAGACTGCTGCAATTCCTATGTAGCTAGAATCTGCTGCAACTCCTGTGTAACTAGGATCTGCTGCAACACCTGTGTAGCCAAGATTTGCTGCGACTCCTGTGTAGCCAAGACTGCTGCAACTCCTGTGTAGCCAGGATCTACCTTCATCCCTCTTCTCTCNCTAGGGGACATAGGACCATAAGTAAGTCAAGTAATTATTCATTATGTGCCTATAATGCCTAATGAATAAGCTAAATTTATCAAAACTGTTATAACCCTCTCTTAAATAATGTAATCTAACACAAAACGGTTAGGACGTAACAAATCGCTGTATGTAACTACTAGTTGATTGAAAAAAAAATAGTACGATAATAACCGATTAAAAACCGAAAACCGGTTTTTTTTCTTGGAAACCGAAAAAAAAATCGGTTTTTGATAAACTTTCGGTTTTGCATACCCTACTCGTCTCCACTTTGCTAGAAGGTTCTAATAATATGCACTCACCTGGCATCCTCCCGGGCTCGTCGCTGGTGAAGTCCTGCTTCTTTGGTGGAAATAACCTGCTCGCTATGATGCTGGTCTCCGTCCTTGCTCCCCTTTGATGCAAGAAGGATCTAACAAAGCACTGTTCCCTAGCATGGTCTCACCTGGTACCTTGCTAGGATCGTCCCTCGTAATTCTGAAGCTGAAGAGCCCTGCAACTCCTGTGTAGCTAAGATCTGCTGCAACTCCTGTCTTTCCTCATCATCCCTCTTCTCTCTCACCTGGCATCCTCCCGGGCTCGTCGCTAGTAAATTCCTGCTTCTTTGGTGGAATAACCTGCTCGCTATGACGCTGGTCTCCGTCTTTGCTCCCCTTTGATGCAAGAAGGATCTAACAAAGCACTGTTCCCTAGTATGCCCTCATCTGACACCTGGCTAGGCTCGTCCCTGGTAACTCTGGAGCTGGAACCCTGCAACTCCTGTGTAGCCAAGATCTGCTGCAACTCCTGTGTAGCTAGGATCTGCTGCAACTCCTGTGTAGCTAGGATCTGTTGCACTCCTGTGTAGCCAAGACTGCTGCAACTCCTGTGTAGCCAAGACTGCTGCAACTCCTGTGTAGCCAGGATCTAC